CCTTGATCTGCCTGTGGGTCTTGCAGGCAGCATCCCCAGGCCTCCAAGAGTTAGGCCCCTCCCACCAAGCTCAGGATCTCTATGAAGCACAATTTGCAATTGGGATTGCCAGATCTGGGTTGGAAAATACCTGGAGACTTTGGGGGTGGATCCTGGAGAGGGCCGGCCCATATGGGGAGGGGGTCACCTGATCGTCTGAGGAGGAGAGCTGTGCTCTCTCTCGACAGCTTCAACTACGGTACAGTTTGTTAGTCTTAAAGGTGCTACTGGGCTTTTCACTATGATCAGGAAGTTGTGTGCGATGGACTGCCCGCAAAGATTCTGAAATTGGAGGAGACGGGGCGTGTTCAGGGAGAGAGGCCTCTTCTCAAGCTGTTGTGGGCAATTCCTTGAAAACGGCAGGCAAGGTGTGCTTACAAAGGTAAAGGTAAAGGTTTCCCTTGCTCGAAATCCGGTCGAGTTCGACTCTAGGGTTGCGGTGCTCATCTCCGTTTCCAAGCTGAAGAGCCAGCACTGTCCGAAGACGTTTCCGTGGTCATGTGGCTGGCGTGACTAAACACCAAGGCACACGGAATGCTGTTACCTTCCCACCAAAGTGGTACCTATTTATCTACTTGCAATTTCTTGCTTTCGAACTGCGCTTATACCCCTGCTTTATTTATTATTTACACCCCTGCTTTTCTCCCCAGTGGGGGACCCAGAGCAGTTTGTTGTTTTTCCTCCACCGTTTTCTCCTTGCAACAAGCAACCCAGGTCTTTAAACTCTCAGGAACCGATGACTAGGGAAAGTAACGCTTTGCAAAAGATTTTGTTGGGGAAATTTCTCAAACACATCCCCCTTTGGATGCTGGTTGCAATGTAGCTGTGGTGCTGCGAATGATTCATTTCTGGGCCGTTCTGACCCAGTTACTGTGGTGGACATTGAGAGGGTCTCGGCAGCTGTGAGGGCCGCCACATACTCCGGATCCTCATCCTCCTCTATCCTGGTTGCTGTAATCCTGAAAGGACCACATCAACCAGTCCCTGATGTCTGTCGTAAGTCAAGACGGGTAGCCTTGTTAGTCCGTCTGCAGCAGTAGAAAAGAGCAAGGGTCCAGGAGCACCTTAAAGATGAACACGGTTTGTGGCAGGGGAGGAGCTTGCGTGGCAGAACAAAGCCCCCGGAGAACAACATTTGTGGCAGGGAATGAACGTGAGGAGTGCTCTGTAGAAACTCTTGGCCTGTGGCTCTTAGCCTATAGGGACTCTTCGACTAGCGGCTCTGTAAGAAGCCCAGGAAGAGCCAGAAAGCCAGGGCCCCAGTCTACTGGTGTTCCCAGTAAGGTAAGTAGACTTCTACAAGGAGAACCACATAAAAACAAAGGGTTTTAAAAGGGGATTATATATCATCATTATTTTGAAAGCAATTATGAAGCTAGAATAATAATAATTTTTAAAGCAATTATGAAGCCGGGGGAATGTTCCCTCTAAGCTGTGGAGTCTTGTGAGCAAAAATTCTACTGCATTAAAGTGGCGAGCAAGCAATTTGGCTACTGCATAAATTACTTTGCTCTGGAGCCATCCTTCCTGAGCTAAGACAAAAATGCGTGAGCCAGAGGCTAAAAAACGGTGAGCTAGCTCACACTAACTCAGCTTAGAGGGAACACTGGTTGGGGGCTATCCAGTGTTTTGCACAGAGTGTCACATGTATGACTATCTGCCCACTGGACAGAAGTCTTGGGTGTGTGCTCGGTGCAAGGAGCTCCTGGTTCTCAGGGAATGTGTGTGCTCCCTTGAGGCCAAGGTGGCTGACCTGGAGAAGCAGAGACAGTCAGGCACACAGAAAAGACTCTCGAGGACTTGATAGATATGTCCCACTATGGATCTGGCAGCCCTGCCGCTGTCAGGGAGCATGAGGGTCAAGGAGAAACAGGGCACTGTGCTGAGGATAAGGGGAATGTGCCCTCAGAAGGGACC